CCTTCCTTCCTTCCTTCCTTCCTTCCTTCCTTCCTTCCTTCCTTCCTCCCTTGCTTTCTTTCTTGCTTTCTTCCTTACCACATGCAGGCCAGATGTAATTCTAGGGCCTGTCTCAGGTTGTTTGCTGGAAAGAAGCCCCACCCCCCTTTTCTTGTACTGTCTTTATCTAAATTCTGTCTTTCTTGATATTTTGTAGAAACCCTCTTGCTTATAAATGGTGGCCCATTTAAGTTCAAGCAGCTGGAAAATATTTTGCACAAAATACCTGGGGATTTTTAATGGCTTGATTAAAAAAAACAAACAAACAATTTCATTAAATAGACTAATTGTGGGAATGGGATTGTGTTGCCAGAGAGTCATTCTGTCTCTGATAGTGATTTTTAAAATCACTATGTCTGTATATGTGTATATGTATATATGCATGTGCGTGGCCTTGGAGGCCAGAAGAGGTTGTCAAATCCCTTGGATCTTGACTTACAGGCAGTTTTGAGCTGCCCTGTACTGTGGCTATAGTATGGATATCTAGAGAGACTACACACAAGAAATTAAAATTATTTCATGCAAAGGGAAAGGGAGCTGTCGGTCTAGGACACTGTCCTAGTTACTCTTCTGTTGCTGTGACAAAGCATCGTGACCAAGGCAACTTGCAAAAGAAAAACTTTTAATTTGGGGTTTACCATTTCAGAGGGTTAGAGCCCATGGTGGTAGAATAAAGGCATGGTGGCAGGAACAGCTGAGAGCTCACATCTTGCAAGGAGGAGAGAAAGCGGGAGAGACAGAGACACTGGGAATGCAGGAGCCTTTCAAACCTCAAAGCCTGCCACCAGGCACACACCTCATCCAACAAGGCCGCACCTCCTCACTTTCCCAAACAGTTCCACCAACTGCGAACCAAGTATTCAAATACGAGCTTATGGGGCCCTTATTCAAACCACCACAGGCTGACTTTGTGATATTTATTTATTTGTTTATGATGCTTTTTCAAACCCACGATTTCATACATCCTAGACAAACAAAAGTTCCACCTCTGAGCCATAGCCCCAGCCTACTCCCCACCCAGTGCCTCTGCTTTTTATATGAGGTCTCATGTATCCCAGGTTGGCCTTGAATTTAGTGTGTAGTTAAGGATGACTTTGAATTTCTGATCCTCCTGCCTTCACCTCGTGAATAATGGGGATTACAAGGCAAGCAACCACGCTTAGTGTCCCTGATACAAATCATGAAAATTCTGTATATTAACTCTGTATTAGCATCTTGTTAAATGAACCTATCTTGGAGAGAATCCACTGACAATTAATTGTTAATTGTGGATTAACAATTCTACTACGGCCACACCCTCTACTCTTCTTGCAGTGCGTTAAACAGTCATGCCCCCCTTTCTCTAGAAGACAAAAGTTAGTTAAATGTCATATACACATTGCTCTTTTTACTGAAAACCCCCCTAGCTATTGGCACATATCATCTGCAGAGTTATTTATTTGTTTGTTTTGTTATGGGTGAGCTCTTGCCAGCAACTTAAAGGAACTCGGGCATTTATTGCTTTGGTCGGTGGCATGTAATGTTTCAGTCCATTTATGCATTGTGTACTGTTTAAATCAGGATGAATATATCTCCTCAAATGTTTTTCATTATGATGAAATCCACATGGCATGAAACCAAACCTGGAAGTTATTATTTGACGAAGTCCAATCCCATGGAGTGTCTAAGTAATTTTATTATTTGCACAGTGGCGGAAGTCAGATCTAAGCCCTCTATTAGGCAGCCACTCTGCCGAGGAACTACATGGCAGGAGGTCACCCTATGTAGAAGGACACAAGGAAGGGCGGGAAGAGAGTTTAGATGATTGCTGAGAAATGTCTGGGGAGAACAAAGGGAATTTCAGTAATGATGAGCAGAGGAAAAAGCTTTGAGGAGAATGCCGCCGGGAAGGTGGAAGACAAGATGTGGGGTCGTGTGAAATTTGTAAGGAAGCCAGCAGGTAATAGCCGTGCTTGCAGCCATGGCCAGGGGTGTGACAGTTCTGCTTGTGGCGGACAGGGCATCTGTTTCAGGATGATAAGGAGAAGGGCAGCAGTCTGGGCAAGAGCCGAGCCCTTGGCTGGTTGATAGCTTGTGACCAAGGCTTCTCAGAAGCACTCTTGGAGGTGATGGTGGTGTCGACTTGGTGATTACTGGTTGGAAAGTTAAAAACTCCACTGGCCTTTCCTAAAACCAGTTAAGAAACTAACTGGTAAATGGGAGCCTTGTTGTAGCCCAGGAAAGGACTAGGTGATAATAGCAGGCAGGTCTAGAGTGTGCCGAAGTATCTGGTTTTGCCTTCCTGTTAAAACTATACCTGCTTGGGAACTTAGCACACCCAGAAGCCCATTATAACCTCAAAGAGTACCTATCTCTAAGACAACTGGAGGCCGGACAATTTGAAGATTGTTTTTATTGCCAAATAAACTTGTGCCAAAAAGAATCCACCAATAAGAGCCACAATTAGAAATTCAGCCAGATAAAATGCTAGCTAGATACACATTATTCTTTTTATATCCTTAAGGGGAAAAAAATTAACATTTAACATCAAATGCAAGTGTTTTACACGGGTGGGCTCTTGCTGGGGACTTGTAGAAATACAAGGTGTTTATTGTTTTGGTCAGTGGCTGTTAGCTGACGTCACTTGTTTAGAAATGGGAACGAGACTGTGTAGTATAAAATTTCTATTTGGTTCTAAGATTAATGTCCATCCCTCCAACAGTTATTATTTTCTTGTTGTTTTGAGTATTCCTTTCCCGGGAAGGATGATGTCTACCCTTTCCTTATGTGGTCCCAAAGACAAAACTAAGTACCATAATACCATAGTTTGCCCTGGGGAACCAATGGTTTTATTGGGCTTACTTACAGAGCGTGGGTGAGGGGTTACTTGCAGAGCATGGATGACCGAAAAGCAGCTAAACCTGCAAGACATCCCCCAGTCTGGCTGATGGTGTCCCTTTAGTCAGCTCTTCCCAGCACATATGCTGGAGTTGCAGAGAGGCAAGCCAGAATGTCGGGTGCAGGTCCATCAACCTCCTTCCTCTAAGGCAGCAGTTTTCAACTTGTGAGAATTGAGTGACCCTTTCACAGGGGTCACATATCAGAGAGCCTGTCTATCAGATATTTACATTATCATTCATAATGGTAGCAGAATTACAGTTATGAAGTAGCAATGAAATCATTTTATGTTGGGGGGGGTCATCGAAACATGAGGAACTGTGTTAAAGGGTCACAGCATTAGGCAGGTTCACTGGCTCACTTAGACCACCGCGCTAAGGGAATACCAACAGTGAACAGGCTGCTAGCAATGATCTCCTGCAAGCACGCAGCTCATTTGAAAATGGCAGCTGTTTTGCTCGGAGAACCTCGTTCTGTGATCCATGTGCAGACTCGCACATTGCTTATCAATCAGTCAGGATTTTGGTTTGAGAAATGTGATGTTGGGTGATTTCATCAGCGAACACGATAGAATGTAAGACACGTGTGACATCACCTATCTTATGAAATCTCTATGGCGTATGTGGCTTGCCCTGACTGCGTGACTGAATTATATAGGTGAAGTAACAACTAAATTAAGGCAGAAAGTGATGATGATGTCATTTCTTGTGTGCCTGAAAAGAGGTCTCCTCAACAATTAAAATGCAAAGAAGAGTAATTAAACATCTATCATCAGGAAGCCCTATGAATCACTCTCAAAGGATTACAAGATGTTTGCTTTTATTAGGTTCTAACATCCAGGCCGCAAATTGAGCAACTTTTAAAAAAGGTTGAGAGATATTTTTCTTTAATCAAAAATTTAATCCCACATAGAGATCCTAAAGGTCTCTTATTATTGCGTTCCCATCAAGTCAATTCCAGCATCTAATGAACCATTGGGGCTCTCATCATTTTCTCTAATTCTTCCTCATGAGGGTTGGAAACCACTTCATGTCCTTGTAACAAGAAGAAAAACCATTTGCTCCTCAGAGACATTATTTTCAAGGAGCTAAAACAGGAGCCGGGACACACATGCCAGGGAAAACAAGTGTTCCTTGGAGAGATACCCGCTGGTATTCTGTGATTTCAGAAAAATCATGCTATTGATTTATTTATGAGAACCATGGCTCTTCCTTTCTCCAGGGTTAAACATTTACTCAAAACAGTGCAAGATATGAAAAAGAATCACATTCAGTCAACTTTCATGTTTTCTCTAAAAATGAGTTCTTTTTGCAGGGAGTATGAATATATTCATCAGTAAAAGGGGTTTTTTTGGGGGGGGATTTTGGTTGGTTGGATATTTGAGACAAAGTCTCTTGTAGCCTAGACTAGCCTTGAACTTGCTATTTGGCTGATACTGGCCTTGAACTCCTTATCCCTCTGCCTCTGCCTCCATAGGCTTGTGCCACCACACCTGGCTAGAGAGAATTGCTCAGGTAGCAGTTTGCACCTTAGACTGAATTAAAATGTCATTTCACAGTCTCTCTGTCAAGCTCCATTTCCTTTCTCTTTAGAGAAGAAACTAAGAAGAATCAAAGGTTTAAATGAGGAAGTAACTTCCAAGGACATGCTTCGAACTCTGGCCCAAGCTAAGAAGGAATGCTGGGATCGATTCCTCCAGGAGAAGTTAGCATCAGAGTTTTTTGTGGATGGACTTGATTCCGATGAGAGGTAATTGATTGACAGCTGATTTCACCGAGAGTGCTTCTCATTCACTAAAGAACTCAGAGATAGTGACATCAGAATACTGGTACCAGTTGATACTGATATCTTTTTGAGGTGAAATCAGCCCCTGGAAAGTTCTTCAGTCTGCCCTTAGACCAGTGGTAGGTTTTACTTAGAACAGTAAATACCCTCAGCTGCATCTTAGTCACAGATGAATAGAGTTGAGGATGAACCACTATCTTTTTTTTTTTTTTTTTTTTTTTTTTTTTGAGACAGGGTTTTTCTGTATAGCTTTGGCTGTCCTGGACTCACTTTGTAGACCAGGCTGGCCTTGAACTCACAGAGATCCACATGCCTCTGCCTCCCTGGGTGCTGGAATGAAAGGCATGCAACACAACACCGTGCTTCGCTATCTTCATTTTAAAATATGCAGTGCTCTAGAGAAAGAAGTAATAAAGCAACAGCTAGAACCATGGCTCCTTATCCCCTGCTCTTCATTGCCATAACGCTTTTTTCCTATTGCAGCTACCCAATAAATGTGTGTGGATCAAATGAAGATATTTACTAAGCATCTATTATGTGATGACACTGGCAATGGAGGATAGTGTATTAGTTACTCTTCTATTTCTGTGATAAGACACCATGAGCAAGGCTACGTAGAGAAGGAAGGATTCACTTGGGGCTTATGATTTCAGAGGGGTAAGGGTCCATTGCTATCACAGCAGGAAAGTGTGGCAGCAGGTAGGCATGCTGACTGGATCCTGAAAGCTGAGGGTTTACAACTTGAGCCACAAGCAGAAAACGGAGAAAGTAAAATTGGGATGGTGGGAGGCTTTGAAGCTTCAAAGCTGTCCCTCAGAGATGCATTTCTTCAAGCAAGACCATACCTCCTAATCCTTCCCAACAGCACCATCAACTGGAGACCAAGTGTTCAAATTCCCGAGTATATGAGAGACATTTTATTCAAACCACTACGTCTCACTCCCTGGCCCTCACAGGTGCACGGCTGTACCATAATGCAAAATGCATTTAGACCAACTTCAAAAGTCCCCATGGTCTTTCAGTCTCAACACTGTTTTTAAAAAAGACCAAAGTCTCTTCTGAGAGCCAAGGCAGTCTCTTAACTGTAACCTTCTGTAAAATCAGCAGCCTACTCCAGGTTCAGTGAACACCCTGTCTCAAAGGGATAAGGTAGAGAATGATGGATCAAGATACCAGATGTCCGGCTGGAGAGATGGCTCAGTGGTTATGAGCACTGGCTGCTCTTCCAGAGGCCCTGAGTTTTTTTCCCAGCAACCACACGGCAGATCATAGCCATCCATAATATGATCTGATGCCCTCTTCTGGCATGCAGATAGACACTCATATACATAAAACAAATATATCTTAAAAGAAACAGACACCAGATGTCTGCTTTTCACCTCTGAGTGCGTACCCGAGGGTCTGAGCACCTGCCTTCACATATACCACACCTGCGCTTCACACACGTATACACAGTTTAAAAAAGGATGTAATCCCAGCACTCGGGGAGGCAGAGGTGGGTGAATCTTTGTGAGTTCAAGGCCAGCCTGGTCTACAAAGCAAATCCAGGACAGCCAAAGCCACATAGAGAAACCCTGCCTTGAAAAAAATAAACAAATAAAGCAAGGAAGGAAGCTAACAAACAACTTTAAAAAAAAATTAAAAATGAAAGGAATAATAACTATATATATATATATATTTATTTATTTATTTATTTAAACAAAGACCTTGATGGGGATATGACTTAAGCTTGCAACACATAGTTAATACTGATTTGCAAGTTCCACTGGGTCATAGGAAGATGCTACTGCTGGAATCAAGGCCAATGTCTAAATAAAGCTTTATAGTCATGCTTCATTCAATTTACAAAGTGCTTTTGCTTGCAGACTCACCTTTTGAGTCAGCACACCGAAATCCTTCAGAAATCAGTGTGGCATTTTTAAGGTCAGGCCACCTACCCTCAGAAGGCTCAAAAGATAATGTGTTTTTTTCCTATCTCTAAAGGTTTAATGCAAATGAGTCTTAGACTGCCCAAACAGGTGACTTGAAGCTACGTAGATTCCTGACCCGTTCGCAACTTGACACAATGTTCTGTCTTCCTCAAAACCTCCCTCTACTCCGGTTCCAAGAAGAAGAAACTTTCTCTTGCATGGTCAAGTATGAATTCCCTCTTTCTGAAGCCAGACTGCTGTCAGTGGCAGCATGACACCCTCCCCCCCTTTTGTTTTGACTTTCCCTTGTCTTTGTTTGTTTGGTGGTTTTTTTTGTTTGTTTGTTTGGTTTTTGTTTTTGTTTTTTGAGACAGGGTTTCTCTGTGTAGCCTTGGCTGTTCGGGACTTGCTTTGTAGACCAGGCTGGTCTCTGCCTCCTGGCCTTTTCTATAGAAATAATTTGAATAGCTCCATGAAAAGGGTGGCAGAAAAAGAGTCAATGTCACTGCGGAACAAGCACTGGAAGACAGCAGTATGCATTAGTTTTGTTTTGTTGGTTTTTTTGAAACAGGGTTTCTCTGTGTAGCCTTGGCTGTTCCAGGACTCACTTTGTAGACCAGGCTGGCCTGGAACTCACAGAGATCTGACTGCCTCTGTCTCCTGAGTGCTGGGATCACAGGTGTGCGCCACCTTGCCACATTTGTTTTTAGACTCAAAGCATGCATTTTCTTTTTTTTTTATGTGTAAAATCTTCTTTTTATAATTAAATTTATTTGTTTTTATTAATTACAGTTTATTCACTTTGTATCCCCCCATAAGGCCCTCCCTCCTCCCCTCTCGGTCCCATCCTCCCCCTTCTTCACGCATGCCCCTCCCTAAGTCCACTGATAGGGGAGGTCCTCTCCTTCCCCTTCCTTCTGATCTTAGTCTATCAGATCACATCAGGAGTGGCTGCATTGTCATCTTCTGTGGCCTGGTAAGGCTGCTCTCCCCTCAGGGGGAGGTGACTTGGACACTAAACTGCCCTGGGCTACATCTGTGCAGGGGTTCTAGGTTATGTCCATGCCTGGTACTTGGTTGGAGTATGAGTCTCTGGGAAGACCCCTGTGTTCAAATTTTCTGCTTCTGTTGCTCTCCTTGAGGGGTTCCTGTCCTCTCCACATCTTAATATTTCCAACTTCTTACATAAGATTCCCTGCACGTTGCCCAACAGTTGGCCATAAGTCTCAGCGTCTGCTTTGATAGTCTGCAGGATAGAGGCTTTCAGAGGCCCTCTGTGGCAGGTTCCTAGGTTGTTTCCTGTTTTCTTCTTCTTCTGATATCCATCCTCTTTCAAAGCATGCATTTTCAACAGGCCATTTTGTGTTCTGTGAGGGCCAGGTAGGAGAGTCCTCATGTGAGAGAGGCTACTGTTTAACACAGTCATATGGCTTTGTGCTCTTTGTGGTTGTCTGGTTGTTTGGTTGGTTGATTAAGTGATATGGTCTCATTCTGTAGTCCAGGCTAGCCTCGAACTTGTGACAGTCTTCCTGCCTCAGCCTCCTGAGTGCTGAGAATTATTACCTAGCTGCTTTGAGAGTTTTTTTTTTTTTTTTTTTTTTTTTTTTTTTTTTTTTTTTTTTTTTTTGCTTGTTTTGTTTTGTTTTGTTTTGTGACAGGGTTTCTCTGTGTAATAGCCCTGGCTGTTCTAGACTCGTTATGTAGACCAGACTGGCCTTGAACTCACAAGAGATCCTTCTGCCTCTACACCCTGAGTGCTGGGATTAAAGGTGTGCACCACCATGCCCAGCTGCTGCTGCAAGTTATTAAAGAGCATAGAAAGGGGTTTCTGTTATTTGTAGTCATTTACACTTTCCTGTGCATGTGTACTAGTAACTGTAAGGTATGGGAGCCTCGGTGCTTCCTCGGTACTTAAGGGGGCGTTAGGAGGGAGAGATGAACCTGACAACCAACCAGTTCCCCTCGCTAGGCAGGCAGCTAGGCAGGCAAATGAAAAGAGCCCTCTGGCCCAATGGCCAGTCCTTGGTGCGAACATTGGGTGCTCAGATGTTTCTATCTTGAGGTCGTAATCTCCCAACCCCTATAAAATTACAGGTCTCACAAATAAATTTCGAGGAATTGAGGCTCACACTATCTTAGGCAGAAAAGATCTCAGGTTTCTGTCTCGCCCATGGTTTAATATTTATTTGAGTGTTTCACCCCTTGACAGTTTCTCTCCTCTTCAGGTTTGAGGGAACAAAAGATCAGACTGAGAGGCACGAGCTCTTCAGCTACTCTCCTCAAGCCTTCAGAGGCCCTGCTTGGAAGGGGCCCTGGCGCTGCTCATAGCCAAAGTGCCCACTAGGGGGTAAATGATGTTGTTGAGCTGCCAGGATGCGCAGCTGACAGAACAGTAGCGTGGCTGAGCTGGGAAGAAATTGGCGGTGGGCGGGCAGGCAGCGTTTGAGAAACGGAGCTAATCATTAAGTAATTACTCATCGAGATCTGACCCAGCCATTCCTTTCTTCTGCTCTTTCGTAGCACCTTGGAACATTTCAAAAGGTGGCTCCAGCCAGGTAAAGTCGCCATCAGCACAGAAGAGGTCCAGTTTCTCATCCCTCCGGAGTCGCAGGCTGAGAAGCCGGAGGCCGGGGACAAGCCAGCGGCAGCAGAACAATAAATTACACACACATACGCCAAGCAGCTGTCTGGGGCCCCGGGGAGAACAGTGGAGAGCTTGACAGCACAGCAGCGAGGAGAAATCCAGGCAGGGGGGGAAAGCCCGGACTTCCACTCCACAGAGCAAACAGCTGCTGGCCCCTGGGGACTTGCTTAGAGCTGGCATGTATGGGGCAGTCTTGGATGGAGTGATGGACCCAGTGCGTGCTAGATCAAAACCCTACTTTCCTTCCTGTCCCACAGCTCGACTGAGATCTGCTGCAGCGGGTTTGAGGTCTGTAAGGATCCAGTGAGGAACAGGGTGTGAAAGCGCTTGGAGACACTGGAGACCTTGTAGGCAGCGCACCGGTTTTTTAAGTGAGCTGTCTTTTCCCCCTCTCTCTTCCCGGTCTCCGTGCCTGTGTTCCAAGTATTCCCTAGAGAGGTAGTCAGGAGCAAGTCTAGCCAAGGAGAGTAAAGTCAGTCTCCTGGGGTCCAAGCCCTTGTGGGGCTTTCTCACGTGCTCATCGTAAATGGAGGGACTCTAGGGAAACGGGCTTTTCCTTTTGATTTGTTCCTTGTATCAGAAATGGACAAAAAAAAAAAGAAGTGTGAAAATGTGGGTGTTTCTATCTGCGTAGATATATTTTCTATTTCACGGCTTCTCCCTCAGCTGCTTCTTGTACCAAGTTCCAAATTAGGCTTGTGAATATGGTTTAGTGTTTGACACAACCCTTGATTGGTTCCAAACTTGCTCCCTGTGGTGACTTCCCCGGCTGAGCTTGCATTCATTCCTTGTTCATTGTACTGTTCTTCGAGTAAAGTTCGAGTTGTCTGTGTAAAACTTCCTCATTGGAACAGCTGTGCGGTGTGGGTGGTTCCATTGGCCATCTCCTCTCACCTGAACACCGAGAAAGGAGGAAAGTAATGACAAGGGAATGCTAAGGCAAGGGAGCTAGCAACCTTTGCCAGCCCGGCCCACGTAGTGAGTTCCAGGACAGCCAAGACTACAGAGAGAGGCTCCGTCTCAAAACAGAAAAGATTTACTTCTCTATGTGGATTTGTGTTTGCCTGTGTGAGTTTATGGGCGCCAAGTATTAGCAAAAGGATGTCAGATCCTTTGCAGCTGAAGTTGTAAGATGCCATGTGGGTTCTGGGAACTGGACCCAGGTCTTCTGCAAGGACAGTAAATGCGCTTAACTGCTAATCCATCTCTCCAACCCCAGGTCTCTTGTTTTTAACACATGCCTCTGGCAGTTTAAACTGAAACGTTCTATGGTAAGGTTCTGGGACCATGGCTGCTGGGTAACAGTGTCCAAATCCATAATGATGAGCAGTGTACCCAAACACCTCCACAGAACACTTGCTCATTTCTAAATCAAGTAATTAACTTGTTGAAAGGGATAGAAACCAAATAGGTCACACCATATACTTGCTTAATGACAGAAATACTTTGTAATTTCTCTCACCTCTATTTGTCATTAACTACTGGTGTTAGCTTTTGTCCTACTGCTATTGGATATATTTGATATAGAATGTGGTTCTTGGTGGCATCTTGGGGAAGCCTGAACACTGATGAAATCTGGTGTTGAGCCAAGATGTCAAGCCGCTGTTTCTGTCTGGGGGTCGGATAACAGACCTCACTCTTCCTCCAGGGTCATCTAACAGCTTCAGCTAGATGGAAAGAATTGAAAGAAAAAGGCTAAGATTTTTCTTCATCCTATATGATAAAAGAAAATCATTCTTCCTTAGTAACGACAAAGAAGAAAAGTGGTAAAGCTGGTCCTAAGATGGTAAAAACATACATACATATGTGTGTATATATATGTATGTGTATACATGTATATATGTATATATATACATACATACATATATGTATGTATGTTTGTTTTTCGAGACAGGGTTTCTCTGTATAGCTCTGGCTGTCCTGGAACTTGCTCTGTAGACCAGGCTGGCCTCAAACTTATAGAGGTCCACTTGCCTCTGCCTTCCAAGTGCTGGGGTTAAAAGCATGTGCTACCACCATCTGGCCGACAATAGTTTTTGAAAGTATTGGTTCTATAATTAAGGCAAAATCTTAGCTTTTACTTTCCTCTTCCTCCTATTTTTCTACCTCAGAAATAGACATATTGGGGGCTGGATAAATGGCTCAACTGTTACAAGCACTTGCTGTTCTTGCAGAGTACCTGAGCTCAGTTCCCAGCACCCACAGCAGACAACTTATAATTGCTTGTAACTCTAACTCCAGGAGATCCAATACCCTCTTCTGGCCTCTGAGAGCACCTACAAACACAAATGCACACACACTTGTGTGCACACACAAAATAGTAAAAAAACGAGAACACAGAGATTTTGGTATGAGAAGGCAGAAGGCTGTTTAGAGGAAACCTTGGTGGAGCTGGGAGGGGAAGATTTCAGATCTCCAGCCATTAAGAATCCAGTTAGTTCTAGCTATGGTCTCTTTACTGTTTTCAAGGTGACAGCTTAAGTAATTACTCTTTAAAAAGGTGAAAAACCCTGTTAGCCTAAACCAAATCTGACATCAGCCCCCAGAGCCAACTCTATATTCGTATAGATTTGTCTTAGGCTCCAGAAGGGGCACTAAATTTGAAACCAGGCATCTGGGGTGCTATCTTTGTCCTGTGGCTTACTGTGTGGTCATAAATAAGTCAAATGACCTCTTTGTGTTCCAGTTCCCTTTCAGTAATTAGACTAACCATAGGAAAAATAAGATTGGCCTAAAATGCTGGTGTGTTTCCTTCTACCCTGAAACTCCAGGGAGAACTTCCTCAAATCGGTAAAATGTGTGAGTTGGGAGAGCCTTATCGCCCCAGCCTCCTTTCTCGTGTCCTTACCAAAACAGATCAGAAGGTAGAGCACGTTCAGTAATAGTGCTGAGCTTCGAAGCCATCAAAGGGTAATTACCAACCATGGATAAGGCGGTAATGACCTGGTATACCCAGGGAAGGTTGGGTGGGAGCCAGGGAAGTAAGCTAAGAGACTTGCCACTATTTTTTTTTTTCTTTTTTCTGGCACATGCACTCATCACCCAGGGCTTGGCAAGGTCAGTGCTGGAAAGGCACAGGCCTGCATCCAGTACCTGCTCCAGAAATAGGCTCCGGACATTCACACAGCATAAACAAGTATCCTACCAACTGTTGCCAAGGTGTGTCCCTTCTAGGCAGGCCTGCCCAGCAGGATGGTTGCTGGAAGGGGAAAGATGCCCTGAGCTTCTTCTTCCACGCCGCCTCCCCAAGCCACATGAAAGGGCTAACACGCTCTTGAGACAATCTCATACAGCACCGGCTCTATTTCAGTTACAAGATCTGAGACAGGACGTGGCCCACCATAATCATGGTTTTCAAGTGCAATGTTTACTTGAGCCGTGGACTATTTAAGGCAGAGATTCATTCATCCAACCAAGGTGTGCTGAGCTTTTGCCATTTTGCAGGCAGTGAGTGTGGTGATAAATAAAGTAAAACCCCAACAGGAGGGAGTGTAAGTATAGAGCACTTGAGAACCACCTGCCAGGGAGAGAGAGAAGAGAGTCTTAGGCCAGCTGGTGGCCGGTGTGGGTGAGAGGACGGGCCCCCTGGGGATGGTCCAGAAGGACTAGTAGGAGTAAGAAGACATAGAGAGTTAAGAGTTTAGAGGCCTAGCTGGGTCCTTTAAGCCCAACACTTGAGAGGCAGAGGCAGGTAGATCTCTGTGAGTGGGCCAGCCTGGTCTACAAAGCCAGTCCAGGACAGCCAGGGCCACCCAGAGAAACCCTGTCTACACAGAGAAACCCTGCCTGGAAAACAAAAAAGAGTTTAGGGGCCTAAGTGTATACAAAGACCTTAAGCAAAAGGGTGTTTGAAGGATCTTAAGAAAGTTGTTCAGTGGGGCTAGAGCACAGAAAACAATAACAAGAGAAGCTAATAAAGCAAAGGCACATGAGAAGGGCTTCATAACCATAGTAAGGAGTCAGAGAAGAGGAGCTAATGGGCCATTTAAAGAAGGGCCATGACAAGATCAGATTTGCATCTAGAGAGATGGCCATGCTACTCTGGGCATGACCAGGTTAGTCTGATAGGAGATGTACAAATTATTCATGTTCAGCGGTGAGAAATATATCTCTATGAGATGAAACAAGCACAGGGCTTTTTTTTTTCTTTTTTCTAACTTGATTTATTTTGAGCGATTTCCCCCCTGTTAGACCAGCAGAATTATGTGTGGCAAACTGTATTTTTCAATGATGGCTGGTTCAATATGTCACATCACGTCTTAAGGGTGGTGTGTACACTCCTCCACTGAGATGTCAGTCAATATTCCCTCCCTTTGAACTTGGCATTCCTTTATGTCACTGCCTTGCAAACAGCACAGCGCGAGTAATGTTTAAGTCTGAGGCTAACAATGTACAAACTTTCCACCTGCCTCTCCCTCCCTCATTCCAACCCTTTTACCCCCTTCCTCTCCCAGACCGCATCCAAATTATTTTCATTCCTGGCCTTTAATCAGGCCTACTTAACACTAAATGGAATTAAGGTAAGTGGTCTCTGCAAAAAAACTGAAAGCTTCATGGGCAAACCAAATGTTATGGCTTACATCATTAAGTTTGGGTCGGATTTGTTACTTGGCCAAGGCCAACGATGACCATAGAGTCATTTAGCTAATTTCAACAATCTCATCCTCCAGCCTTTTCTAGTTTCTGATAATGATGACAACATTTTAATATATTGGCTACAGTATGGATGAAAACAAAATTGGATGTGGGAGTCCAGTTTTTAAGACAGTTACATGTGTTTTAGATGGCATCGGGACTTTTATTTCCACTTAGGATGTAGAATGGTGAAAAGAAAATGTCTTCTGTACCTTAACAAAGAGAAATAGCCAGAAAGCTACATAGAAATTCTCTCTCTCTCATATATGCACACACCCACACACAGTTTCCCTTTGTAGCTCTGGCTGCCCAGGAACTTGCTCTGTAGACCAGGCTGGCCTCGAACTCGAGATCCAAGTGCCTCTGCCTCCTGAGTGCTGGGATTAAAGGTGTGCACCACCACCTCTTTGGCAAAGATTGTTTATGCTGGAGACTGAACTCGGGGCCTTCCTCCTGTTAAACACTTGTTTAAGCGCTTGGCAGCAACTCTGCCAAGGAGCTACATGCCCAACCTCAGTCTTTGTTTTCTGATTTGTTTTGTTTTACAAGACAGGGTTTCTCTGTGTAGCCCTGGCTGTCCTGGATTCACTCTGTAGACCAGGCTGGCCTCGAACTCACAGAGCTTCGCCTGCCTCTGCCTCCCTGAGGGCTGGGATTACAGGCGTGAGCCACTGTGCCCGGCTCCACAGGTTTTCTTAAACTGCTCAGAAAACTGACATCGTGAGGCCATCAAGTAAAAGCACCTCCCAACTACCACAATTCCGGCAAAGATGTGACCGTCATGCATCGGGTGAGAAGAGATCTACAGAAACGTTAGCAGCTGTGTAAAGGGTGTCTGTGGATGAGCACATCCACCGGGTATAGCTTGAAACTGGCGTGGGGTGTACCTCAGGGGTGGAGCGCTTGTACAGCATGCAAAAGGCCCTGGGTTGGATACTCAGCACTGGAAAGAAAAAAAAAGTGAGATACCATTTAAGACACAGGAAGTCTACACTGACAAGCAGCCTTGTTTTAAGAGGCCTGTTTCCTGGGGCCCTGAGAGAAAATAGGAACAGAACAGGAGTCAGGAGAGCGCTTCCTCCTGGGAGGCACAGCCCACAGAAATTGTCCAGGTGGCGGCTGCGGGGGAAATAAAAATTCCACAGTCGTTTCCACAATTGTCTCCCGTAAATAAAAGCCATAAGTCACTGGGGAAAGAGGCA